CTCTCTCTCTGTCTCTCTCTCTCTCTGTCTCTCTCTCTCTCTCTCTCACACACACACACACACACAAACAACCTTTTGGAGTGGCACCTACATTCTGAAAATCAGTAATATAACACATAGGAGTGCTATGACCACAATAACTCTTCTGAATGACACTCAAAGATCTTCACAATTAAAGCATTTTAATTAAATATTTAAAGTGGCCAAATTCTCATTACATTGCTGCATCTAATCTGTTCTGTTAGGACATACAAGCTATTATCAAATCTGTTGTTTTTTTTCCTGTTTTCATGAATCGGTTAACATTTTAAGCTTCTGGGTGCTTTGTGATGCTATGTGAAATCATGGAACACTGCTGGAAAAATCTGGCTGCCAGGAAAAATGGGGATTGCAAAGACAAAAATCTTGCAAAGCGTTTTGTTTTTTTTTAAAAAAAATCAGAGCTTTCAAATGACCATTGCTGATCACAGTATTTTCACTTCAGGTCAGGAAGATCAAAATATTACCTTGCTGCCTTTAACTCCTGGGAGTCCCTGTGGCCCTGGAATTCCAGGGGCGCCCTGGTCTCCTTTAGGGCCCTGAAAGGGAAGAGAGAAGGAGGAAATGGGAAGCAGAAAAAAGAAGACAAGAACAAAGAGACAAACACACACAAACAATCTCTTGCTTCTACAATAAAGGCTGAATTTTTCACTCAATGGGTTTTAATCAATAAAGGAGATTATTTGAAGCTCAGGGTTGAACTGAGGGGTCCTTGGAGCTCTCTGAGCTTGCTTGTCTTCTTGCAGATGTTTCATGATCCAACTAGATAACATCATCAGTGCCCTTGCATATAGAGAGCAAACCCCACTCCCTTCTAGCACTGATGATCTTGCTTAGTTTGGGCAATGAAACTGCTGCAAGAAAACAACTACCGTATTTTTTGGAGTAAAGGTGCACCTTTCCCCCCCTAAAAGAGCGTGGAAATGTTGGTGCATCTTATACACCAAATGCAGCCATTTTTGGCCTTCTGAAGCCCCACCCCGTTTTTTATGAGAAACGGGTGAAAAACAGGCCATTTTTCACAAAAACTGAGCCGTTTTTGCCTTCCCCCAGTCTTGCTGAATCCTGCAGAGTCCTTCTGGGGGCCGGGGAGGACAAAACCCTTTTTGTCTTACTTACCTCTTCAAAATCTTGGTGTGTCTTATACACCGGTGCATCTTATAGTCCGAAAAATATGGCAAGCTCAGAGAGCACCAAGGGACCCCCTCAATATGTTTTGAGGGAATGGAATAGGATGGCAGGGACAAAATTGAATTTGCCAAAGAAAATTTTTTGGTGAATCAGTCCAGATAATGTCTGTAGATTGTGTGTATTTGGATTTAATGCATCCTTTCCTCCCAGTTGGGTCATAAAATCAAAGGTTTACAGTATCTGCGGGCCACGAAAGAATAGCTGGCCAAGATTTTATGCGACATAGCTTAGCTACTTTCACAGGCTGTCTGAAAGATATACAATTCATAAAAGCAAAGTGTTGTTAATTAAATAGCAATAACTTCTACCCTGCCTGGTGGATACATGCTAAAGCCATAAATGGAGGGTGGGGGAGATAACTCTGAAGTCTGATGTGGCCCATAGCCCCTCTGGTTTTCATCTTGAATGATGTAGAGCAGGGGTCACCAACCTTTCGGACCTCAGGGACCACTAAATTCATAATTTTAAATCCCGCAGACCACTAATATGATCTGCCTAATGACCAGCTGGGTGGGCGTGGCTAGGTGGTCATGTCACTCACGTCAAGGGGTGCATCATCAGCCTTTACTCACCCCTTCTCTCCCAGCTACTCGCCTCCCCAGCTGGGCTCCTAAGGGCCCCAACAGGAAGCAGTTGTTGGAGCTAAGCAGCCACCATGAGAAAGAGTTGGCAAAACAGCTGGCTCAGTTCAAATTGGATCTGACTGAGGAGGCAGCTCAGCAGAAGCACCTCACTAAGGACTATGAGCATAGGCTTTCCAAGCAGAGGGAAGGCCTGTGGGAGTGCAAGGGCAGGTATCGGCACCTGGAGGCTCAGTGGGCTGAGATGGTCAGCCAGTTCCAGGCCATGATGCAGTCCCACTGGAACGAGGCCCTCCGGCTCACCACCAGTTGGTGACCGCTGATGTAAAGGATCTAAATTCTTTAGATTAAATTCATTAAATTCAATATGAATCTTTGCATTAGCTATTGATCCGGGCCAGTTTCATTTTTTCCCAAATATAAGGGTGTTCTCCAAGAGTAAGATGATATTTGTAAATTTTTGCTCCATTCAGTTGTGTCCAGTTTTGGAGAGATTGGACAAGTTTCCATAGTTTTCTTGGCAAGGACTTTCAGAATTAGTTTGCCATTGCTTTCTTCCTAGGGCTGAGAGAAAGTGAGTGGCATGCCCAAGGTCACCCAGCTAGATATGTGTCTAAGGCAGAACTAGAACTCAGAGAATCCCAGTTTCTGACCTGATGCCTTCACCACTACACAAAACAGGCTCTTTTCATAGGGTTAGAGAAACCTAAACAATTAGCAATGTTAAGTGTTCTTGCCTTAAATACAGCTGGCCCTACTATCAGGCATGTAAAAATGCAAGTAGAAAAATAGGAACCACCTTTGGTGGGAAGGGAACAGCGTTCCGTGCACCTTTGGCATTTAGCCATGCCAGCCACATGACCATGGAGACGTCTTTGGACAGCGCTGGCTCTTCGGCTTAGAAATGGAGATGAGCACCGCCCTCTAGAGCGGGGAATGACTAGCACATATGTCCATGGGGAACCTTTACCTTACTAGCAGGTAATTTGGCCGAGATGATTGACATAGGCTGCATCCACCTTATTTACAAAAACATTTCATCCATGCTGAAAAGAAAAGGCACAGAAAAAATGTCCATCCAATTGCTTAAGGAGTTGAGCTTTCCCAGGATCTCTGTTTCCTTCTTGGCAGGAAGAAAAAGGGGGATCTGTTTGGAAACAAGGGGTCATACTCACCACTTTTCCCTGAGGACCTGGAGGTCCCGTAGGCCCCCTGTCACCCCGATCGCCCTGCAAAAGAGCGGAGGGAAGGTATTAGATGGTCATGGGTAGAAGGAATAACCTTGAGGAACAGGAGAGAGAGCTGCAACCAAGACAACAGTCAGATAAGGAAAAATCTGAATAGGGCTAGAACTGTGATCTACGTAAGAGACTCAGACAAGCTCCTCCTTGGCCCTCAAAGACAGAGGGGAACCATATTCAGCCTTGCAAGGTTCTCTTTCTATAACTTGGTAATAAAAGCCGTTATTAACAGGCATGGCTTCCAACCCATGGTGCCAAAGTTCTGACTACGGCACCAGGCTTGATAACATTGGAAATTGTACCTTTCAGAGTGGCAGCGTATAATAAGAAAAAGACGTGCATGGATTACTACGACTCAGAACACCATGAAGATTTTGATTTCATTGCAAGAACTCGCATGCACAAACTGGCTCAAGAAGGTCAAAATCCTCTGGAGGGTTTCATGGCTCCCAAAGCATGGACTGTGCTGACAGAGTATTACCAATCCTTGGAAAAAGTTTAAGCTGTTCTTATTAATTGCAAATCAACCTTTGATTTATTGACAAGACAGGGGGAACACTCAGTAATGCTGCTTTGTTGCAGCCTCTGTCAGAAAACCTTTCCTAAATATCTTCCTTAAAAACCATTCTCTGCTTTTCTTATGTGTTTTGTTACATATTGCTAACAAACTTTTTAAAAATGTCTTCTCCTTATTTACGTTTTTTTTAAAATTATAGTAGGTTTTTTAAAAAACTTTGTTTTAATATTCTATTTACTCCTCTTATTTGACCTGCACTTTTCTGGGATGCTGAAATTTACTTTTTCTTTTCTTTTCACTTTATGTAATGGAATTCCAACACTGTGTTTTATAATTTAAGGAATAGCTATTATAATCTGATTACATGAGCTAGAAGGTGGTGTTGAATTTGATCATCATAAAATGGCTTTTAATGTATTACACTTGTACTTTTCACTCTGGACTTTCAGTTCTTATATGGAATCTCCAAAGTAACCTTGGATGGGAAATTAAACGTTGTTTGATTAAAAAAAACAAAACAGCAGGCATGACTTCCTAATTGAGTCTACATTGAAAGACTGAATCAGGAGGTCCAATTCGCAATTCACTCTCAGTTTTCCACATAAAACAAAGGTTCAGAATCATGTTGTTGTTGTTAGTTGCGAAGTCGTCTCCGACCCATCGCAACCCCATGGACCATGTTCCTCCAGGCCTTCCTGTCCTCTACCATCCTCCGAAGTCCATTTAAGCTCACGCCGACTGCTTCTGTGACTCCATCCAGCACCTTGTTCTCTGTCGTCCCTTCTTCTTTTGCCCTCCATCGTTCCCAGCATGAGGCTCTTCTCCAGGGACTCCTTCCTT